TTTGGTTCTCGCCACGGTATTTTTTATTCCATGGGTATTTCAGAAGGTGTACTCTCAACTGGGAACACCACATATAGATGTGTTTGCCACTCACTGGAATGCCAAAATTCTTTCCTTTTGGTCTCTGATTCTACACCCTTCAGCTCTGGGAGTAGATGTGTTCAGTCAGGATTGGAGAGGTCTTTACCCATATGTCTACCCTCCAATCAGACTCCTCTTCAAGACATTTTCTCTTATTCAGACCACTTCTTGTTGTGTCCTGCTCATTGCTCCATACCAGCCTGCTCAGATATGATTTCCTCTGCTTTTGCTGAAGCAACATCCCTGGCCTATTCCTCTCTCCCAGTCTCTTTCGACAACCATGATCGGACATAGTTTATTCTATGTCGCTAAACTACATCTTTCCTTTCCTGCTCCATTCAACTTTCCTCATAGTCTGTGTACCAGAAGCAGTGATGTACCTTCAGACTTTGGTCCATTTGCCATGGCTTCTGCCCCTCCTGTCCTTCAGTACCTCATCTTTCCCAGCTCTTCACCTAGTTGTTTAATTAGGGTTTGTCCATGTCAACTGTTTCTAGTTATAGGCCTGTCCTTTTGAAAAACCTTCTGATTCTCCCATTTTCAGAAAACTTTCTTTTCCCCTATTATATTCCTCCTTTTCTGTTCCTTTCATCTTGTCTGTCCTCCTCACCTTTTTGTTTAACTATATTGTATTTCTGTTTTATATTTCATGCCCTGTTCAGTTAACCATTCAAACACATTGCTACATGTTCTTTGTACCAACTTTCCCTTAAGTCTTCTTCCTCCTCTTTGCTTGGAGTTGTCAGTCATTCCTTTATTTATGCCATTGATATTTCCCACATCTTTTCCCATTCCTCTTATGTTATCTTCTATCCTGATTGGGCCTTCCATTTCCCATCAGCACTGCTGTTCTGTTCTGGATATACTTCTTTGTCCAGTTTGTTCCCTGTGATGTTATGTAGCTCATACTGCCTCCTTTCATGTTATCATTCCCCTTCATTTGTTCCAAAGATTCCCTCTGTGTCGTGTGATCTGTTCCCTATTGCAATTTCTGCTTCAGTTCATCATCATGTATGACTGGCATATTCTGATTTGTCCATGGCAGGTCTTTGTTTGCAGAGTGTTTCTTTGCACCCAATTCCTCATCTATGTTTCTAGCTGCTTGCCTTCATCAGTCTTTAGAGGAAATCATTCAGGCTGGGATGTGGACAACTCCCAATACATTTTTTGTACTTTATCTGCATGACCTGACTTTGTCTTTCTCCTGTGGTGATTCTACACAAGTCTGTTCACTTTTGACTGGGGTGAGTTGACATTATTATTTTTCCCTATTATTTTTATTTGTATTACATATCATTATTTCAGGTACTCCCTAC